GCATTAAAGCAGATATAGTTCTGCTGTCTAGTTATGTGATGTAAAAACATATGATCTATGGCTAGTTCATATTTTTATCTATGCGAACCAAGGCTGCCAGTCGCTTGGCTAACTGATTACAGGCAATTAGAGTCAGCTTGAGAAGCTTTACTGATCATAAAGGAAGAGTTAAGTGTTTAAAGCACTCATGAGAATCGCTAAGAAGGGCAATGCTTGAAGAGCAGGTCTCAAGTATATATAAATTCTTTCCCATTGATTGATATTGTAAAACAGAGTAATATATATCCTGGCACATATGCATAGCCTCAGCTTACTGAAAGCTCTAAAGCAAAACGCCTTAAATGAATAAACGGCAAATCCGTGATGAGAATCGCAGAGAAGAGTAGCTAAAGATAAGAGAACTAGAACTAATCGCTGTTTAATGTACCAAAATGCCATCATTGACATCCTTGAAAATACCTTTAAAAAATTTGAAAAGAAAAGAAATTTATGAAAATCGCAAAGCAAGGCACTGCTGAAGAAATACAATAAAAAAACATAAGCAATTCTATACGAATCCAAAATGAGTCTTGATAGATGCTCAGCATAGCAAATAGTATAAAGCATAGCTAATCGTGGTTTGCCTGTGTCCCTGTGTGGTCCGTAGTGCTGCCCCAGCCTGTGGGGATGTGTGTGCAGTAAGTCACACGCCGTTCCGCTTTCAGCCGGATTAGCAAATGTATTCATTATTCATTATTCATTGATGGACAGCAATGCGGAACCAGAGATTAGCGTGCTTTCCTTAACGCCAAAGTATATGATGCCGCCAAAGCTAGGAGAGTACGAGCGCCCGCAGCAGTAACGCCCCATTTGCCCTTTCGATTTTCGGTTTTGAAGTTCAGTTCAGTTCAGTTCTTTTCAGTTTTTGCATGAGCGAAACGATGACAGCGTTTGCCGTCAAACAATTAAGGCTAATTCGACAATGCGCATTTGGTCTTTGCCAGGTTGAGCGCGGCTTGGCTTGGCCTGCTGCCGAAAATATTGAAAAAATCATTAATCACAATTTTTTTTGGCGAGCGTGCGGAACGAGCTAAACAAATTATTTGTCACACAGTGCGCATCGCTTGGCAAAACAAAGCAATTAGCTAATGAACACTTATCGCATTTCGGTATCTCGGCTTCACAGCATCGAATCTTAAACACGCGACCCGCTGCTCTTGGCACTCGCAAGCCCAAAAAGGCAGTTGACCCGGAAGTGCGGGAGCTGTTCCAATTACAGCACAGCTTCATATTCTAGAAGATAAAACTTTGCTCTAAGCGATTCCGAAACAATGGAACTTGACAAGCTGACAAGCTGTTCATAATCCAGCACAGTTTATGTGCCATGCTATAAGTGTCTTGCATAGCTCATATATTTTATTGTGTAAAATCTGTTAACTCTTTTTATCGCAGCATTCGAGCTAAGATCTCTAATGCTCCTTTTTAGTCGACGTGCATAAATAATCTTGGTTTCCGCATTGTTTTGTTCATCAATGAGTTATTCATTGCGCTTACATTTTTCGATACAATAGATATGTTAATCTCTTGGCATAGTTGGCTTTAAAGGAGCTGCAGCTACAGGTCATCTCCTAGTCAGCTATGCTCGACCGATCTACAAACGCTTTTTCCATGTATTTTATACACAAGTTATATATTTATTCTTTAATGGATTTTTGCTAATCTTTTCTATTTCTGGCTGCGTTTTTATTAATAATAAATCGCTGCAAAATGACGCTGGCAAGTTTTATTTTGTATACACTGAAAAAAAGGGTCAATGTAATTGGGCGTTAAGTAAGTGCTCATAACAATCAGAAGAAGGCAACCATATAGTCTGGTCCCAATGACTCTGTCTTTGTGTTGATCATTATGCAGAGGATATTGATAATAATTATCATAATCATGCGGCTGCTGTTGATAATGAAGAATGATTAATAATGACAAAGGCTATTCTGATAATTATTATTATTATTATTATTATTTCTAAATTATGGTTATACTGATTATAGGAACACTGATGGCAATGTCTTTGATTTGTATGGACTCAGGGTATTTGTCAGTCAAACACTCCCGACTGAAGCAGCCCTGCTTGCTAGATAATAAATCGCTGCAAAATGATGCCAGCAAGTTTCTTAATATTATTGTCATAATTGTTGCTGTCGTTGTTGTTGCTGTTGCTGTTGCTGTTGTCATCGGTGTTGTATTCTTTACTGTTAATGATATTGTCAGTGGCATCGACACCGCACATCAGGTGTATTTGCTATTGTATCTGCTCTGCGCGCATTGGCTTGTGTTATTGAAGTGCGATTGTCGAGCATAAGTACGCAGAGGCCTTTTGCTGGATTTCGTCTTAAATATAGATAATACTGGGATAATTAAATAGCATTACAAAGTCAATGTGATGCAAATATATTTTGGTCAGCGACTTCCGCGTAGACATAAAAACAGATCAATGGGGTTTTTTTGCGTACATGCCCCAGGGACTGGCAGTTAGTGGAGTAATTAAATTGATTTTGTTTAGCGAATGCTTGATTACAAGCTTAAAGTTGTTCAATTAAATTTAATGCACACATTTATTAGCAAAATAAACATTCAATTTCATTATCTTTATTTGTTCGTCTTATTCTACATCTCATCCTTCTTCTTCTTTTTCTTTTTCGTCGTCATATTGTTCATTAGCTTATTTTTAGAAATCAAATATAGAGACCTCTGCGGTTTAGTGATGCTATTTTTAAAGTAATTCTCCACACCGATTTAAGACCTCTATTTTTAAATGTAAAGGCATAATGGCTATGAATTAGCTGAACTTTATTTTTGGCTTAACTTCCGCGACTGTGGGAAGTCGCAAAAAAATAAAACAAAGCCAAAACAATAATAAAACCAAAAAATATAGTACTTAAAATATGGTTGGAACTCAAATTACAAATGTTTAGCTTCGTTTAGAATCCGACTTGGATAGCCTTTAACATGGACCACAAAATGTTTGGGTCAAGTGTGCACACGATTTTTTGTTGCTGTTGCTGTTGCGGCGGCTGCTGCTGTTGCTGTTGTTTATGCCTAACGACAATCCATTAATTCTGTAAATGCTTAAGTGTATTAATTAAATTTATTACGTAAACACTGCAGTTAATGCCTCTCTGGATGCCTGACAATTAATCAAAGGTGACAAAATCGATTACCTTGATGCGAATTAAGGCAAACTCTTTAAGCATTTGGAGCAATTGAACATTTAAAATATATTACTGAATATATACTAAATAAATACAGAATATATAATAAATATATACTGGTTATATACTAAACATATACTGAAGAAATACTAAATATAATACGGAATTGTAAATATATACTAGATATTAATAAATAATTCAAATAAAATAAAACATATTTTACGTAAGGAAAAAATACAAATATATATATAAAAAATTATATATATGTAAAATAAATACTAAATACAAATTAATCATATACTTCATGTGTATACTTAGCGTTCTTTATAATATGTAAATTAGTTAAATGTTAATAAAGCAAGCTTACGGCTTAAAGAGTTCTTTGGAGTGAACACCCACCAGAAGGTAGAACGCTTGTGGCGTTTCTTACCACTATATTGTCGGGTTGACAAGTTGGTCAATGGGTTATTATGATAATGAACTCAATTACGGCACAACAGCTTTAACCATCATAGCCGGACGACCGCCATAGCCAGCCGCTGTTGTAATTTGCTTGGCCTTGGGCTGCCGCCGTCGACGTTGCCTTTGCCGTTGCTAGTGCTGCTGCTTGGCAGATTTCACAGCTAGAGAAACTTCGTTTCGGTTTCTATTGAGAGTATATTCTGCTTTACACAATGCCAACCGCTCGACTGAGCAGAAGAAGAAGCAGTTGTAGTAGTAGCCGAAGAAGCACTAATAGTAGTTGAAGAAGAAGAAGTAGCAAACAGCTGGCCAGGGCTGGAGGTCAAGTCGGCTTTGATCGAGTTAAGTAAATCAAGTTTACGTATAAGGCCCAGCCGACCAAACAGGGCATGAATCGAGAAAACATACAATTACACCACAGCCACATTTTTAAATATTAATTAGAATTGTTCAGTTGTTAATTAAGTGCGGACGGAGTGCACCTTTCTCGCAGTCGGTCAGCCACAAGCTGATTTATAATATTCGAATTCGAATTCGAAATCGAATTCGTTTCTTAATTGAACTCTTAATTTGCGCCAACGAGTTCAAGTACATAGCCAATAATGACTGAAGGCAAACTAAATGCAAAAATGAAATTCCTTAAAGCAATTATGCGGAATAAGTACATGAAATTATGTAGCTTTAATGGCCAATTGTTCAAGCAAATACAATATTTGGTCAAAAGTCTTTAAGTTCCCAGTGAAGCACTCGATATAGCGAATATGCCATGTTTGGAAGACAGGGCAAATGGCTACTGTAAAGTGCTTGCTTATTGAATTCGCTTTGCGAGAAATCAATCAACAAATGATTGCGCTGGGGTATTAGTTAGGTACCGAGCATTGTCATATGACCTTCATTAAAATCAAACACATTTTGCTGTGCGAACTTGAGTCGTTCAGACGTAATTACTGTCAAGCGGAATCGGATACTAAATTCCATGCCAAAAAATGCAAATGTTGACCGAGGAACTACCTCGAAAAGTCCAACGACTCTCGTGCCAAGTGCCAAATGTGGCGACAATTAGGCTTAACGAGTGCTCAATCACTCTCAGCTGGCCCAGAGAGATAAGCTTCTGCATTTACTGGCACGTTTGGGCATTTATTAAAATGGTAACAAAATCCGGCTGCCCCGAGGTGTGCTAATTTTTTTGAAGTAAACGCAGATCAGGGGCAGCTTAATGCGATTAGCCAACAACTGTAGCCAGTTGTATTTGAGCTGTCGTTATTTTCAAAACGAGGTAAGCAGCAAATATCGATAAGTTTTAGTTATATCGATGATTGACCTAATACTTATCAAATATGCAGCCCTGGTCATGACTATTACATTAACACAACGCTGCTGCTTAGTAGTGTGACCAAGTTTCCGCAAATTTCATTGGTGCAAACAACGTGCTACTTTGACTTCAAGCGTTTTAAATATAGGCCAAAATGAGCGGCAATGTAAAGAAGGAGTTAATCCTTTGTGACTATTGTCAGATCGGAAAAGACAGCAATCAGATTTATACGACCAGGAAACAATTTGCTGGCTGCAAAATCGTTGACATTTTGCAAAATGTCACCCAGCGTATCGTAAGTACAGTCCAAGATGTGAGATCATTTGCATATACAATTTTATATATGTATATTTCAGATACCGGTCACAACACCAATTAAGTTATGCAGTCTGTGTGCTTCCACATTGCATGCCACAACAGGCGCTATCGCAAGAGCTATTGAAATGGTTTCAAAATTGTTGCCAGCTTCCAAGAAGCAGGTACAAATTGAGACTGTTCTAATACCTGATGAGGAGGCCGACGATGAGCCGACAAAGTCAAAGTCAATCCGCTTGTCAACTGTTGATGTACAAAGTCCCAAAGTACCGGCTAAGCAAACTGAGGTAGCCACACCAAACAAATCCATTAAGAAAATCATAAAAGAAGCAAACAGCACGCCCACTGGCGTTCAACAGAGTCCAAAGAAGCTGCCCGCCAAGGCAAAGCAACCACAGACAAGCACACCAATAGCAGTCCCACCGTCAACTCCTAAGAAACAACAAGATGTCGAGATGAGCCTACAGAATGCCGTTAAGGTAACAGCAGCCAAAGAAGCGCCTAAAAAGAACAACGAATTCAATCAGTTGTTCGGCTCACACACTGATACTGTGTCAGATTCTGAAGATGAAGATGAAGATGAGGAAGATGGTACTGCAATTGGCAACGAGAAGGCAGAAGCTAAGAACATAGCCATGGGCTTCGAGTGCAAGCTGTGTGACTTCAAGTCCACCTATCCAAACCCAATGAAGAAACATTTAAAGGAATTGCATGGTCAGAAGCGTCCACGCATTTACAATTGCTTAAAATGTACGAAATGCTTTGGTGTGTTGAAGTCCCTTAAGGGACATCTGTTGACACATGGTATTACTGAGCAGAGTGATGAGAAACAAACAGTTGCTGATCCACAGCTGGCAGTGTTAACTGCCCTGAAGCCAAAGCAAAAACCAATTGTTAATAGCGAAGATACCGTTGACCTCACGAACACAAATTCACCCATACTAAAGCCCGCCGGGGTGCAGGGTCAGCCAGATCAACAGTCTACCAAGTTTCAGTGCGAGATGTGCCAACTTGATTTGAATACCGTTAAGTCTTTACAGGATCACCTAAAGACTGTGCACAACATCGAACGTCCCAAGGCATTCAAATGTGATGCGTGCGAATCTCATTTCATGTACAAGACAACAATGGATCGCCACTATAGGGTAAAACATATGGCTGATGATGGCACAGAGACGGCCAAAAAACAAGCAGCGCCGGTTAAGATTAAACTTAGACGTAAGACGATTGCAGTCGAAAGTAACGTGATTGCAAAGGAAATCAACATGGAAGATAGCACCACACAGACCAGTTTTCCAATAAAAATTACAGCCAGGCGCAAGACTATCACGTCGGAGGTGAATAAAGCGAATGAGTCACCTATCAAGATAAGCAAGCAATCGCCAATTAAAAATCCGAAGCAAGTGTCAGCAAATGGCGAGAAAGTCATTACAGAAGCTATCGATGGAGCCATTGAGGGAGTCATTGACGAACTTATGGAGGATCTTCCAACGCCGAACCAGAGCAAACCAAAGGTGGTCAAGTTTGGTGATAGTGCAACTGTTGCAGACACGCCAAAGAAGCTAAAGAAACCAACACAAGTACTCAAAGAATCTTTTGAGTCGCTTTTGGAGTCGCCAAGCAAGAATAAATCAAAATCAAAAGGCGAGCAAATCCTAGTCACGCCTACCAAACAAAGCAGCAAGGCCATAGATGAGCTAGAGTTGATTTCGCCCATACAAAATGACAAATCACAGAATAATATAGATTTGCAGGAGTCACTGATCAGCAAAAAGAGTAAGGCCAAAAATGAGATAGATACGCTGGATTCATCACAAACTATAGAGAACGGCACGCCCAGTAAAAAGATAAAAACCCAAAAGGACACTTTAAACTTATCACAGACCATTTCCATAAATGGATCAGCTAAGAAATCGAGCAAGCGCAAGCTGCGAGAAGAGGAAACATCACAGGTGGATGCCGATGATGAGGCTGAAGTGTCAATCGCCTCAAAGTCTCTTAAGAAGTCAAAGGCGGACAAATTGAAGCAGGCAGACATTGACACCATCGAATTGCTCGATGAGATCAATCCCAATGTCAAGCCGCACAAGCGCACAAAACTCGACTCGATGGAGCTCTCCGAGTCGGAACTGAGCTGCAGCGTGTGTAGCAAGGTCGTTGGCTCACGCAAGCGTCTCGATGCGCATATCCTTAAGAAACATACCATAAAACTAACGTGTCCCAATTGCAAAGTGGTCTACACCGACAACTTGGAGTACGTGAAACACTTCTCCTTCTGCAATGCTGTGGATGGTCTGCCGTGCGGCATCAAGAACTGTGAAAAGGTCTTCGCCGCGGCCAATTTCCTATGCTCCCACTTGAATAAGAAACACAAAAGCACACAGTAATGCAAGTTTTACTACAGAAGTAGTCTGAAAAATGTCCGATCTTAACGTAAATCCTTACTTTTTCAGATTTTAAAGTGGTTCAGCTGGCCTTAAAGAATGCTCCAATGACTGAATATTTTATTTTGTAATTTTTTTAAGAAGATGAAACTTTTTGTAATGAGTACAAAACCTTAAATAACCCAACAAAATGGACACAGTTAATTAGAAAATATATATTTTTAGTTTTTATATATTGTTCCGACTTTCATGTAAAGATAAACAATAAGCGTAAATGTAATTTACAAAAAAGAAAACCAACAACAATTTGAGAGCAGTTTGTCTAGCAGAGCACTTTCTATATAGATATAGATTTATATATATTAAAATTAGATATATATTTGTTTTTTTTTTTTCTACATGCGTTGCAATATGATTTATGTGTAGCCTTAAGACAAAATCCCAACAGAAATGATTTACGCAGATCCCGCGCGTAACAAAACAAATAATGAAAACAATTTACTAGTTCAACTTTTCTACTTAATGTGTACTCTAGAATGGATTATGATGATGATACAGGTGCAGCGTTTGCCTGTTTCTCAGGATCCGACCTTGCTATGAATCTCAGCTTGGGCCACCTTCATAACATCGAGTGCGCCCTTCTCGATGAGTCGCTCGGCCAGAGTTTGGCCCAGCCAATTGGCCTTCACGTAGATGTCCCTGCTATGGCATGCATGTTGATAGAGTCCACAAAACAAGTTGTCCACATCCTCAATGAGCACAGGCAGTTTAAGCTGTTGCGGCTGTGGCTGCTCCTCATCGGCATAATCGAACATTTGCACTGTCTTCTGGAGGAACGGACATTTGGCGTGACCCGCTTTTTCTTGACTGACTTCGAGGCCACTGCCTTGGTGCATGGCAGAGAATGGGCACTTGGAAGACGTTGTCGCCGTTGTCAACGTCGGCGTCGGCGTCGGCGTTGGCGTCAGCGTCATCGATACATTATCCGGCTCATCGCCACTGCTGGGCGGTAGCGTAGATAACGCATTAATGTGTGTGACCGGGCACTTCCCCGCACTGGCATACGAAATCTTTGTCTCGTTGTCAACAAACGGACACTCGCCCATGAAATCCTGGCCAACGTTCATCTGCAGCGGGCAGTGAACAGACGAATTGGCATTGCTGGTGTCAGCATCACCGCCACCTGCATCTCCGCCAGCGCCCAATGTATTGTTATTGTCGTGACCAACCACGGGGCACTTGCGTGCCAGATCGATGTGACGCTCGATCAGCTCCTCCATGGAGTAGCCTGCCACTGGAGCATCCTCGCATATGACTGGTGGACTGCCTTGTTGACGTGGACTATTCGTGCTAGAATCGGATCCCGAGCCAGACCCATTGCCATTTCCATTATCATTTCCATTGCTAAGCGAATTGTTGCCATTCCGTGCACGCTTATTTGATGGCGGGGAATCGCAGCTGTTGCTGTCATTACCGTTGGCTATTTCCTGGGCCTGCTGTTGCTGTTGCTGTTCCTCATTACCGGCGGCACGTTTGCGTCGCTGTATTTCTGTTTCCGACTCATTTAAGGCACAATCCAGGTGCTCGCGTATCTCAATAGCACCATCAAGACTCCAGACGGCACCTGTAAGCGATAAGCCCACTTCTTCCTCCTGATTCTGCTGCTGCTTCAGCTGCTGTTTGTTAGCATTGTTAATGGTGTTTGGCTCGCCTTTCAGTTTGCTCCAAACGGCAACTGGAGCAGAGCATCCGCCGCCTAAAGTTTTCAGGAAGCTGCGTTCGGCCAAAATGCGGCACGTAGTATTTAGGCACATAAGCCTCTGCAGCATGCCTAGCACATGAGCATCGTTGGCACGACACTCGACGGCCAGAGCGCCCTGGCCGACGGCGTAGAGCAGATCTGTGGGCTCCAGCACCTGGCTGATGCGACTCATCCAGCCCATGCGCACGAGACCCGCCTGCGCCAGTATAATGCCCGCGAACTTCGAGTCCTTGGCATCCAGCTTGGCCAAACGCGTATTCAAATTGCCGCGAATGTCGCACACTATCAAGTGCGGATACTGACGACGAATCTGTGCCGTGCGACGCAGTGAAGATGTGCCTGTTGACGATAGATTATGAGAGTTAGTTGGTGGCCTGCAGCTACAACAGTTGCTTAGCTTACCAATGACACTGCCTTTGGGCAGCGAGGCAATGGTGTGACCCTTTAAGTGCTCGCGCAGCACCAATGCGTCACGTGCATCCTCGCGTTCCAGCACTGCGCCCACAGCCATGCCCGTTGGCAGCGCCGTGGGCAGATCCTTCAGCGAATGAACGACAAAGTCAACGCCGCCATTACGCAGCGCATCCTCCAGATCCCGGGTAAACAGGCTCTTCTCCCCAATCTTCGGCAGCGAAACGTTCAGCACACGATCCCCAAATGTAGACATGGTATCTGCAAGGTCAACAATAGATGCAAATGAGTTTATTTATTTTTTCTACTGCTTCGATCTCATTTGGTGTTTCCCTGTCAGTCCAACTGATATCATTTCTTATATAATCAGAGATAAAAGTGCGCCCCTCCAATCAAGCGTAACACGCAAACGAATTCAGTTCAGTTCCCCCATTCAAACAAAAATACAACACGATAACGAATGCTCTTTTATCTGCACGCAATGCTACTAGTTCTAGGCCTTATCAGGCGCTGAATTTGCCTACGAACTGGGCGCTATTTAATTGTACTTTATGAAGTTCTATTTTTGGATAGAAATTTTATATATCTAAACGGGATGTTGCGTGCTCCTCAAGGCTCACAACATTAAATTTAATGATAAAATAGTGTGCGAAATAACATTTTATGCTGACTGGACTCAATTATTTCACTTTATTTCTTCACAATTTAATTATAAGAAGAGTTGTTGAGTAGATTTAGTCCTTACAAAGGAATTAGATTGATTACATATAGGAAAGAATTTTAATGTGTGCGATCAAGTTTTATGTTTATGTATATTTAGTAAAAAAAATACTTAAAACAAATGACTATATTATTTACTTTCTGAAGCGTTTTTATAGAAGTTATATATGATACAGCTTTACATGATTATTTAGTTATTTTATTGATAAACAAAAATGTGTAAATATTTGTTTCGATAGAAAACAAATATGTGCAGGGAAAATTTTAGCGAGTTTTGCATTTATTATCAAGGCTAGATAATAATAATATATATATAGATTTCAATAGATGCTTATATTATGTCAGCAGCACGTTTGTCAAGTTACGATAATATAGTTAAGTGTGATTTTAATCTATAAACAACAATCTATAAAGTTATTTAGTAAAAAAGCAAAACAAAAGCAGAAAGAAAGACATTGACATTGAGCAAAATTTTGGCAAAAGGCACGCGAAAGAGACGCAACAAAAATTTTAAAGATAAAGTGAATACAAAATTAAGAAATTCAGACACGCCTCTCTAAAAATCTCGAGTTTTTCATTGCTTTAGTAGCAGCAATGAGTTGGGGAAACTGCTGATTAAATTTACCGTAAGTATTGCTAAATAGATAAGAGAATTGTGCTAGGCCACATAGAATTCATGAGTCATGGTGAAACATAATAAAATAGTAATAGTAACGCACGTTTGCAAGAATAATAAATACTTGTGTAAACAAAAATAATACGAAAATGCATTTCCTATTGGAAACTTTCACTTACGTATCTCGAACTTCTGCTTCGGATATAGTTTCTGCAGTCTTCCGACGACATGTTTAGTCTGAATGAGCGCTAGCTGCAAGAGAGAAGATAGTAGAAAAAAGAGAGGAGCATAAGTAAATGCTTTCCAGTGCACATGCTAATGTCAAATGTAAATGAACTGTAATTGGAGAAAAGAAGTAGGAGTGGGAGAGGGAGAGAGTGAGAGCGAGCAATTTAGTATAATTAATTGCGGTCGCTTCCAATAAGATTCATTGTCGCAGCTGCTGTTAGATTTGTTTTTGTTGCCAGTTGGCTTTTCGAATTTTAATTAGCAAAGTAATTTAAAATATATGTAAGCAATTGTGGCCTTGATAAAGCCGAACGCCAGGCTAAGACAAGTATAGCCAAGCCAAGTCGAGCCAATCCGTGACAAGCACGACTCAAATGGCTAACAAAATATGGTCAGAGTAATAAAAAGATACAAAACCTCACAAATCAAACGACAGGCGAGTGCGGGCAGATATATATTATTATTGCGCCAGCTTAAGGAGAGCAATACCAACATCAATAGCAGCAGCAGCGCAGTAACAAATTTAAGCAATGCGTGAGAGCTGCACGAATCTGAGCTGCTGTTGTATAATACTAACCAAAAAAAAATAATACACAGTCACAGTCAGCAACAACAAGCAGCAGCGGTATTTTTTTGGGCGAGCAACAAGTCTTGCTCTTGCATAAATATGTGTGAATCGAGTTGTAGCGGAAGAGAAAGAGAGAGAGACAGAGGGAGAGGGTGCAAACAGTACACGGGTGAGCGTATACGACATGATTGAAATTCAAATGAAAGTTGACTAAATCGAATGCACATATTTCAGCGCACTCACACACACTTACATACACATTCATGAATATTCTTTACCTCACTCTTTCGTGAACCAACACGAATGACCTTTTCCTTTTCCTGCGTAGACATCTTAAGTTTCTGTTATTATTGCACAATTATTCCTATTAGACGTGTGTGGAGGTGGTTTAGTGAAAGTGTCTGTGGCGAGGACAAGCAGCAGTAGATTTTTTTTGGGTCACGACTTTTGCACAGTAGCAACGATGAATGATGAATGAAAACTTAAATTCACTGAGTATTAAACACACATTCTTGTTTTATTGTCATATAGACTTTGTACTAGACGGTTTAAAAACCAACCAATGAACCTAATATTAAGGTTTAATGCTGGGCGATACTACGTCCGAGCAAAGAGCAATGCAGAAAGTGATTGGCAAACTGATTGGCCATGCGACAGGGGCCTTGATAGACGACTACTCGATAGCTGTTGAATAATATTCAATCTAGAGATGAAACTATGTGTCGACTATTTAATACTAAATACACAACACAAATAAAGCGATTGCCACCATTCGATAAATACCAAACAGCTGGCGAAAAACAAATGAAAACAACGCGCTGTTGTCATGTTTTTGGTAAGTTATGATTTATTTGATAGATTAACTTTAAAAAATTTTTAAATTATCTACTTCAGTTTATAAGCCGTCCCATGGGGACGCTTGGCAATCGTATGCGAATAGTACGCGAACGCTTGGGCGATAATTTTCTGGACAAGCTTGACGAACTGCATTTGAATGCTCTGCGTACTGGCCTAGTCTCCAGAGCGGATCTACAGGAAGCTTATCGAAACTCGCGTGACATGAATACCAATCAAAATCGGCTAAACTTCTTGTGGCTTCTGGGCATCATATTTTTTATATTGGTAGCGACACCCGTTTTCTATGAGACCATTTCGTTTTTGCTCGGCGTGCGCTGTTTCGTGCCCAACAATCACCTGGTATGGGAGGCAACACGTCCAATCAGCGATTGTGAGTTCTGCAAGGGTGTTGTGGCACCTCTAATTTTACCCAACCTAACACGCGAGGAGTTTGCTCGCTATGCCTACTCCTCGCGACCAATCATTGTGAAAAAGGCCATTGCCCATTGGTCAGCAAAACAAAGTCTCAATTATACATCTATTAAAGAATTGTATGAGAGCGTGCCTGGCTCATTGGAGACCGCATGTCAGTTCCAGCATTTCAATTCAGATCTCAAGTCGTTGCGTGACGTTTTCAAGATGTCACCAAAGCGCGTTAATCTGAGCGAGGGCTCGCCCTGGTTTGTGGGTTGGAGCGTTTGTCAGCCTACGGTGCTGGCGGAGCTGCGTAAGTTGTATCCACGTCCACACTTTCTGCCAGTGGATGCTGAAATGCCAAACACGGACTTCATACTGATGGGGTATGAACAGGGCGCCGTCATGCATGTAATTACAACTGAGCTTAAGTATTGAACAAGCTGTGTAAGCGTTTCTCTATGTTCCACAGTTGGACTACATTCCACGTCTAATGTGGCAGGCACAGCTGCAAGGCAACAAAAGTTGGTTCCTCTCCCCCGCGCCGGAATGCGATCATCAATGCCAGTCGTTTTTCTTCTATGTGGAGCCAGGCGATGCTGTAATGGTGGATACACGCATCTGGTATCATGCCAACACCATACCCAGAGGACAATTCTCACTCACTGTGCAGTCCGAATACGGGTAAATTTTAACATTATATGAAAAAAGTCTGATGAGAGATTTAAGCTGATAGTAAATAAATGTAAATTGACTTGCTATTTTATTATAAGTGAATCTCTCTGTTTAAATATAAAATAAATAGAATGAAATATTAATATTAAATGGTTCTATGAAAATCTTAAGGACTGCGGCATTATCAGCGAGATTAAATTTGAAAAGTTCGATAACTGTTAATACTACATCGATTAATTGAAAACAATCGAATGCAAGCCAGCTAATGCTTTGACGCGCGCGTATGTTGCTTACATTTTAGAAAGTAAAGACGAAAACTAAAACACAAAATTGACAAACATGGACGAAAATTTTAATTTTACTGTTTTTTCTGCAAAATGTAATAAGTACATCAAGGAAAATCCTATCAATTTGAGGGAACTGTGTATCACTAAATCGGTTATAAAGACAAATGACTTTTTAAAAGGCGTCGAAGCCGAGGAAGCTGAAATGGCGCCGGCTATGTCTAACAAAGAACTTGGAACAATGGATGAATATGCAGAGCTTTTCAAAGTATTTGAAACATACCCCACTAATCTGCAGCGTTTACCGAAAAAGCGGGATCTGCAACGCACCAACTCTGCGATTATTAAAGGGACTGATGCCATACAGGATCAAACAGCCATTAACAGTTCAAGCGTCACTCCAGCACTCGGCTGCAGCCGTGTGGATGAGCAGCAGAGCGCTTCGAAAGTTTTCAATGATTATAAGAAGTTTCAGCAGAAGTTACGACAGGCATACAATGAAGCTGCTTCCCTAGAAAAGGAACAATCCAAATGGCTGGCCAAAATCGCACAACTGGAAATGTTTGTTCAACAGCTAGCGAAACTTATGCCTCGCGAGCGTGAGGTACCAAATGCCCTTACGCCTGAAGAGCAAAGTAAGCTGGCTGCCATTGCTGAAAATATGAAGGAGCTTAATTATCTACGTGCCAATAGTCTCACACAGTTGGCCGACCCAGTGGACGCTGCTGGACGCCAGGACACTTTTGTTGATGTCCTAAACTACGCTCTTATGCAAATAAGCTCATTCTGTTCCTCCTAATGACGTAATTTGTTTAATTTTATTATAATGTAACCTTCCCGACATTTTGAATCTATTTTGGTGTCAGCTGTTTATGTTATCGGTTATCGTCTGATATTCGCGCTGCGATCTTCGGTTGTCATGTTTATCGACTTAAATGTAATTTAACGTAGTTTTTTATTTAAATTTTATATATTCTTCAAATTGAATTTGATGCCTTTCATTTAAAATTAATGTGTAAATTTTTAATGTTTTCGCATTACATCTATTCATACACGTCCTCCTTGTCGGCGACGTATTTAATGATGTCGGCAGGTTTCAGAAGCTTTTCAGCATCCGAATCGGGAATCTCAAAGCCAAACTCATCTTCCATGGCCATGATGACCTCTACGTGGTCCAGCGAATCCAAGCCCAAATCATTAATGAAGTGCGAGTCCACATTAAGCTGCAACGAAAACATAATTAGATATTGCAATTAAGAAGATAATTTTGTTATGGCAGATTTGTTCGTTTCTTTTGACGGCACAATAGATTAATTGAACTGGCAAAGGCAATTAGAGCATTGAATTAAATGCGCCTAGGCCATGAGCTTGGTATTTTACCTTGCTGGGATCGATCTTATCGTACAGCTTCAATACAAGCAAGACACGCTCGTTGATAAGCTTCAGCGACAATGGCGGTTTCGCCGAATAGCTGCGCAACGATTGCGTTTGCCAGCGACATCTACTGTCCTGCAATTTGCGCAACCCCGAAAAGAAAAGAACAAAAGAAACCAAGTTAGTGGATTCTCGTTAAGAGAGCTTTACCTTATCGGCAGTCACTTTGTCGTAGGCTGAAACGACTTTCAATACGCGATGTTCAATTTCTTCAAGAGTATTCCTCACCGAGTAGTTACGAACCGTGAACTTCTGGTTCTGTAATAATGTAAGATTTAAAAGGTATAAAATTTGATCCAACCTTTAAAAGTTGCCGGCAACCAAATCAATAAAATATTTAAATTATAAACATATGAATGTAAAAAAATGATGCAATATTATAGTTCCCTATGCTAGACGTCATTTCTTCCTTTAACAAGTCCATGTACGGTAATTTTTTGTAGACACTGTTACCGTAAATAACTTCATTATCCCGTAGAGTTTTCACAATGAGGTTAGGGTGCAATTAATAATTACTTTAATACCCTGATGCTTTTTGCATATATCTAAAGAAAATTATTGGGAGCTTACATGAGTGAGTTGAGTGCCAACGGCAGGCATGGCAATCCGGTGCAGCATCCTAGACTGTGTCTGTACAACGGTTTTGGCGATGCGAACTGTGCTCAGGGCAGCCGCAAATCGGCCGCAGCTACGTGCGACTTGTGTGAACGACATCTCTTGCTTAACCTGGAATACAAATTAAGTATAACAATTTCTGATTGTACCTAATGCAGTGTACACACGCTGCTAACAATATTTACACCGAATTTCACACAAAACGGGGGCTCAGATTATGTAAAAGTTCTGGAGGAGCAAAGGCAGCACAGATGTTGAATAAGTATCGATGCCAGACGTATTAGCATCGATGTTTTGAGTGAAACCGACGCGTTGTGAATGGTTTAAATTGAACAGCTGCCATTCAATAGACATCACACCTCTAAGTAAAATAAATATTTTTTTATTTTATCATTAGTAACTCTATTTTATATATATTTCTGAGGGTGTGTAATATATTTTATTGAGATAAGATATTAAGATTCGAATGCCACATTTTACATTTATTTGGAACATTCACTTTTCATATTTAGCAATTATTTCTGTTTAAATTGAGCGCCCAATTAATATTATCGGAATAATGGTAATAGACAATTTTTTTATTAAAAAGCCTGTCTTAGGTGAATAAATATATGTATTAAGTTTGTAATTCGTTATAAATTTAACGTTCCTTAAAGTCTTTAAATAATCATTAAATATTTTAATTTTGCATACTACAAGAATTATGTTTTAGACAACTTTACAACACCAACATTTTGTTATCGTACTCAGATGTTATGTTTTTTCGTATCTTATAAGTCTACAAAACTAAATTTTGTGTTTGTTTTGATATCGGAACACCTGTATAATCAATATAAATATTAAGTATTGGATGCGCCTCTAAAGTTCTAAGAACACAATAATGTTAAGGGATTTGATTACGTGGGTTTTAAACACCTATCTCGGGAAGTATTTAGAAAATTTGAACTCTGCTCAACTGTCTGTTGCACTGCTATCAGGTATAAAATAATACAAACACTATTACGAAATAAATTATTCTTTTATCATACAATTCATAGGAGAAGTCGAGCTCGAAAACATTCCCATCCGAAAGGATGCGCTGCGCTCGTTTGGCCTGCCTATAGAAGTCTCAGCAGGTAGCATAGGTAAAATAAAGCTGCAAGTGCCGGTTCGTCAGTTTCGTACTTCGCCATGGTGTATTTCGGTGGAAGGGCTCTTCTGCGTCGTCTCGCCAAAAGACTTCGAGAACTGGGATGAAGTGAAAGAGAAACTCCTTAACCTGGAGTATAAGCAATCTGTGTTAGACACTGCAGAGGCCAACTGGCGCTCTGAGAAGGGAAAACAAATCGAATCGTATTACTTCTCATCGTATAATAATTGGCTCAAGTATGGAACAAATATGGCAACAAATATCATTGATAATATTGAACTCAAAATATTTGATGTTCACTTTCGATACGAAGATGTTGTTGATGTGGGTAAAAGCAAAATTGCGACCGGCATCAAAATTGGTTCTCTAACTGCACAAAGCTGTGATTGCAACTGGACGACAGGCTCCAATAAATCAGTTAATAATGATATTAATTTTAAAGTCGTTGAGCTGAAAGAGTTATCCCTGTATTGGGATACATTGCATGACGATATCAAATGCCAGAAGTTCACAAATCAAGAACTTCTAACCAATATGAATCCAACATGTCAACTGCGACCACATGAATTCATAATCAGGCCCATTAGTGCCATAGCCAGGTGGAAACGTGAAAAATCTCCCCAAGTAATTCGCTCAAAAGACAAACCGCGAGTATCCTGTGATCTTCTAGTACCTGAAGTTATAATTGTGCTAAGCAAGGTAAGTTCAATCGAATTAGATTTCCTTAATTAATAGATATTAATTTCCATTTCAGGCGCAACATGATGAAATACAGGATAAATTAGCTGGAATTCAACAAATAAAAGAAATTTGCCAATTTCGTTTGAAAAGACCAACCTACAGTATTAAGGATAATCCGAGAATGTGGTGGAAATATGTTCTTGTTTGCTATGGCCGCGAACTTAAAACAAAAGACGAAAAGTTTATAACGCTCAAGGAGAATCTGCGTTATATGAGAATTTGTCAAGCAGTCGTATTGAATCCCAACGAAAACTTGTCCACTGATGACAAAGAATTTAAGGTGTATATTGAGAGTGATAGAAAAATTGCTGACTTAATCATAATGCGCAGAATATGCTTTGAAAAAGTCTTCTCAAAAGGAATTTCGATTAAGTCTGACCAAGTCAAAGGCAAAGGAATGCTATTTCATTGGTTTCCTAACTGGATGGGCTGGTATGGAAATAATTCGACAGCCTCTGCCGAGCAGGATGAGTCGCTGCAAAATTTAGAAGATGATATATTGGTGGCACTCGAGCACTCACTACAGAGTCAATCTCACATGAAATGTGATACAATTTTTGGATATTTTACTATTGAGCTACTGAAAGGTTTCATCATATTGCAAACCGCAGAATCGCCGAAGGCCGATGATAGCAAATCAATAGAAATGCAATTTAATAATTTATCATCTTTTCTTCAGTTAAATCCTTTATTTACTTCATATGTCGTTGGCATATCACTGGGTGAAGTTTATTTATTAGATAAAACCAACAAGGACTCGAAGCATTGCTACTTAATCAAACCTCAGACCGATCGATCAGCAGCAATAAATCCGCCGGAATTAAAGCAATTAGCTAATTCCACAAATAAACAGGATCCACTATTTCAATTGCAATATGAAAATGATGATCAGTTACAATATCGCCTTATAATTAAATCAAAAAGTTTGGATTTAATATACAATCAAGCTGCAGTCGATTGGTTCTTAAATTTTTTCACCCCCTCCAATAAAGTGCAGTATTTAATTAGAGATAAATATAGTAGTGAAAAAGAACGAAAGTTTCTTAGTTCCTGGAATCAAATCTTTCTGGGCAATGAGGTAAGATTTCGACTAATAATAAGGTAAATATTGCTTATATAAAAATGGATTTTCTTACTTTCAGGCGAATCGAAAGATTTGGACTTTTGAAATTGAGGTATTTGCCCCACGAATTATATTCTTAGAAAATTACAAAATCGAAAATTCGCTGATGGTTTTAATGGATTTCGGCAAATTGCAATTGATCAAATCGGATTTTCAAAAGAAAGCCTCAACATTTATATCGAAAACAGAGGATACTTGTCCAATAGATGACAATGAAGACATCGATGATGATGATGATGATGATGATGATGATGGTAATGAAACCTATTTGACTCCCTGCGCTACTCCACCTGGTTCAGAGAAAAGTGGTTCGGAATCACCAACGATAAACGAAAATATGTTCAAGGACTTATTGAATAAGAACACTCAGCTGGAATCAGCATTGCACAGTAAAATCTATAATACATATACCATAAATTTCACGAATTTGCAAGTATTAGTATGCAAATACCAGGAGAGATGGCAAGCGAGCTTGAAGACCTCATCGAATTTTCATTTAATTGATAAATTCAATATTACGCTAACAGTCGAACAACGTATTGTCTTCACATCTGATCCCGAATATCCATCGCTCACTCTATTTGGGACGTGTCCAATGATATTAATACATGGCAATGAGGATAAAATTAAACACTTTCTAACTATAATTCATCCAATTACCAACAATGCCAGGCTAAAGAATAAAGCCACAAGTGAAACCGAAAATCGAATGCCAACAGATGAAGGTCATCCATACTATAATGCAGATGGTAGCCATTTGGTTGTTCAGTTTGCAATTGGCCAACTGATCATCGAGATGCAGTCCAAAGAAAAGAGTATTGCCGAATTGCAAATTATTGGAGCCAGAGCTGGACTCGTGACTAAGGGAAAGGAAACCACGATAACAATGTCTGTCCATGGACTGCTGCTTGTCGATGCGATTCAGTCTTTCGGTCCAGACTTTGAACTTTTGGTTGCCAGCCACCGAAATGTGGGGTAAGTATTTAAAAGAAACATAAAGACGGGTTAGTGTCTGCTCTAAAATTTGATATTATATAGCTGCCATATACAGTTGATACATTGAGTCATACATTCGGATCGTTTCAATACCCTTAGCATATAGAAACGAAAAATTCAATATAGAATGCATTTTTTGAGAATGTAACAGGTATCACCCCATATAATATATATATTCTTAACCAAGATCGAAACTTTCTATGTCTGACTGTCTGTGTTATTACATAACGCACTCCCATAAAAAAGAGAGGAAGGCTAAACAAGAACAGTTAGGTTGCATATGTGTATTTGTAGAAAGTGAGTTAGGATGCCCGAAGCAACAGAAAATACTTTTTGGCGCCTAATTATTGAGTGTAAAAAACTAACTCAGAGAAAGGCTCAACATTTGAGTTTGAGTGGGAGTCGCGCCCTATATAAAGGCAGCCTCGCTGCTGCATTTCTTCAGTCGTTTCCATGACCTGGTGGTGGTCAGTCGTGCAGTGCAAAGTCTTGTGTGTGATAAACATTTAAGTGGTTAATAATATTAAGAAAAATTGTAATAGTTATATTTATAATTTTAAGCAATTGTTTATATTTTAAAATAATAATTTTAAGAAATTGTTTATATTTTAAAATAATAATTTTAGGAAATTGTTTATATTTTAAAATAATAATTTTAAGAAATTGTTTATATTTTAAAATAATAATTTTTAAAAATTGTTTATATTTAATAATGATGATGTAAATGATTATTGTGTTCGTCGTTATTAATGATGATTAAGTAAGTTGTTATGAAAATAATCATAACGTTATCATTAAGATGAGCATATATATGTGTATGTGCATATATATATATACATATATATAATGTTTGTATGTATGTATGTATGTATGTATGTATGTATGTATGTATGTATATATGTATATATGTATGTATGTATGTATGTATGTATGTATGTATGTATGTATGTATGTATGTATGTATGTACGTACAAATATGTATGTACATATGTATGTATGTATGTATATATGTGTATATGCATGTATAAATACTCATACACATATATGTGCATAGAGAACTAAGCTTGAATATTTAAGAAATGCCTAAATTAACGACATTGTAAGTGTAGTCGGACAAACCCGACTGCAACGCCCTTGTTTGTTTTATAAGAACTAGAATATAAAAAAGAAAAAATGAGATTTGTTTGATTAGTGAACGAACCATTACTGAGCTGCAGGAAATATTAGAAGTGTTCCATTTTGTTTGTGCTGTTAATTTCTAGCTCTCTGTATCCTAATGTACAGCTCACAGTTACTCTACT